TGTTATAAATGCCTTCACTGTCACTTTTGATAAATTTAACACATCTTTGATGACCCCTTTTGAACGATAGTGTATATATTTTGTTATTATGTGTCAATGTGCCACTCAAAGCATCAGATTTGAGTTATGGAGGTGATGTGAGGTCTGACACAAATTGTATTATTTAAGATGGCTTTATTTATGTCTTGCGACAAAGTTACACAGAGACGGCTAACAATAACAAGCAACATACTAAAAGCAGCTATTGCAATAATGAATGGTTCCAGCAAGCCAGCACTTCACTTCTGGGACTGTACAGCTCACCAATAGTAACACACATACACAACATGCAATATTACAGTAAGCTTCAACCAATCATAAAAACCCCTTAAACCTTTCTTGCACAAATTTGTATTCCTTATAAGTATTTAGATCAAATTCGCTCTGATTTGAGCCTTGCCACAAAACATGAAATCAACAATGCCACAATATGTGATTTTGTGCCTTAGAGCTTTGTGTTGGTTGCCTAACACAAGGAATATTCAGCATATGTGTTGCCACATGGAGTTCTGAAGGGAAAAAAAACCTTTAGGCACGCTTGATGAACTTATGATGGTGAATTTTCCACTGAGGCAAAAGTTAGAAGACGTGTGACAAATGTTTTCTTTAGTAGACAGTATGTCTTTGATTTGAATAGCTCCTGTAACTTCCAACTGCTAGAGTCAGATAATCATTCTTACAGTTAGAGAGCGTATTATGTTGCACTTTCTAATAAAGTTACCAGCCAATTGAAGAGTTTTATTTATTTACTCAAAGCCAATTTTTACTTGTGTTTGGCACTTGGATGGTGTATGGTTTGGACCCTTCTTTTAGTAATCCCATAGATGCAGGTTTTTCAGTCTGGACTGTGTCACATCCTGGTCTCATTCTTTTTTTTTTTTTTGTCACATGTGCACTCAGGATTGCTCTCACTGTTGCTGTGTCCCAATTCAAAGACTGCATCCTTCGAATGCCGTGAAGGTCAGACTGAGCGTTGTTAAATGGGACGGTCCAGCCTACTGAGGACTGTTCTTGTCGCCTATCAACTGTGACAGCTGCTGTTAATGAGTGGCAGTAACGTTTTTACTGGACTTTTTATTTATTTATATTAAACAAAACAGGGTTCACAAACTGTCCAAATATGTTCACCATGGTCCATTTCTGTATAAAATAAAGTATATAAACTATATATAATCGCATCTTAGTAAGATATGACAACATTTGATCTGCTAATTATTTTTTATTTTTTTTCATTTTTATCATTAGATATTTGAGTAAGTTAAAACTCAATACTTACTCAATACTTATGTTTAAAAGTGAAGAGTTTGGTTCCAAAACGCAATAAATCCATTTAGATTAATTTGAGTAAAAATGTGTTTTCTTTACCAAGAAAGTGGAAAGATGAAAACCACTATTTTCTGTTTCAAACTTTCACATAGCTTTCACATAAAAAATTTTTACATCCAGGTTTTGATTTTCAAAGATTTATTATAAAAACGGATAATTTTTTCCCCCAAAATGCAATAAATCCATTTTTTTTAAATTCAAAATGCAATTACTCGATTGAATCAATATAAAAGTTTTTTTTTTCATATTGAAACTGTTGAAAATAAACAACTGTTGAAAATACACAACAACGTAAGTTTATTAGTATAATATTTTTATTAAGAACTGTAAAGAAGATAGAAAACATTTTTCCTCCTCCCGAGTGGCTCATCTTCTTAATCTCCTCGCGTAAATGATTCGATTTCGATGCCTTACCTTTCTTACCCACCGCAGAAACAACCACAGGTTCATTAATGCCGTCAAAATTATTCATTTTTTTGTTTGTTTGTTGATCGAAAAGTACAAAATAGATAAGAAAAACTAGGAAGCCGGGTGTATTTAAGGCGCTGCCGTTACTGTTTACATTGCGTGGAATGGTGCGTTGTGATTGGTTGAGAGCGGATATATCGCATTCTGCAGAGAAGGGAGACTGGCGTTTGTCGCGGTTTGGAAAGAAAGGGAGAAAACATGACAGAATAACATGGCGGATATCGCATTTTACTTAAAATTAAACATTGACTTTTCAATACCAACCAGATAATATACTGATTTTTGCAGTAACTAATTTTTTTTTTTTTAAATGGCGTTTATCGCGTTTTGGAACCAAACTCTTCAAGTGTAATTTGGCAATTTCCCTTCCAAAAAATCCTGTCGTCATTATCGCGCAATGAATTCTGTGGTAGGCAAGGCCTCGAAAGATCCATCTGTTGTATTCTTCGTTTCACGAAAATGAAGGCCACATTTGGAGGCCGCATTTGAAGGAGCCTTTGAATTTGGACAGTCTTTGTCGCCCTGCGGTGACACACTCGTCACTCGGCCTTCGAATGTGCCCTTTGAAAGATGCAGCCTCTGAATATAGGACGCAGCTTGTCACTTACCCGTTCTCACGGTGTTGAGTGTTGATTGGACACACCTGCTGCTAATTATGGTTGTTTGGACTTGTATAAAAGCTCAGCTCAGCCAGTCGGTCTTTGTCTGGCCTTTGTGTATGTTCTACGGACTATTTGTTCATTGACTGTCCTTACCTGTGTTTATGTTTACCTATCTTGTTAAAGTGGTCTGGGAACCTTTTGTTGGACAATTATTTGATCTAAACCATGTGGACTTGATTAATGGATGAATGTGAAAAGAACTTGGAGTTAAGCTAAGGGGCTGTCTACACGACACCATTTTCAACTAAAAACGGAAGAGTTTTGGCCATTCATTTTTACATGACAACGCAAACTTTTGAACACGGGTTTCAAAGTGCAAGTTTTTGAAAGCGGTCTCCGTGTAAACTATAAAAAAGCGAATCTGTAAAAAATTATGACACAAGGCCCATGCGTATTCTGTGTTCAATCTATAGAGTTCCATCGCCATCTAATGGCCTGGCAGCAGAATACAGTGTTTTTAGTCGTTTTCACGGATCCGTGTGAATGGAGATCGTTTTGACAATGGTGTCATCTGTACGTGGAAAACCAAAAGGAACAATTTCTCCATTTTAAGCATATTGTTGTTTTCTAAACGTATAAGTGACACTCCTTTAGAGAGACTCCTTTGTTTCCCTATTAATGTGACTGTTTTGAGTTGGAACTTTTATGAAGCTGCCTGTGTAGAAGATAATCCAGTGTTTAAGTTTGATCCTTACTAGGAGATCAGAGTACCTCCCGTATTCTGTATTTTTATACTCCCTGCTGTTACGTTGGACTTCCCCTGTTGTGGTGTTTGATTTCCATCTTATCGGTCGATTAGCTGGAACGAGAGCTAAGTGACTGTATCCTGTTCTAAGACTGTATGTTTTTACAATATTCTTCATTACCTTGTCTGCACATTACCTTATCCGGCATCCAGCCTGCCAAATACTTGATATCTTGTAACCCGCTAGCCACGCTCTTGTGTTATTGTCTGCATTTCTACCTGTTCCTTACCAAGTCTGTTAATAAACTCCCGCCCCTGGGACCTAACGCTATCTTCCCGTTTTGTGTGTTCGTTACACTTTCTCTCTCCTCAAATTTCTTTCATTATTCACTTTCTGTCAGTGTAAAATGTAACACTGAACAAAATTATAAATGCAACACTTTTGTTTTTGCCCCCATTTTTCATGAGCTGAACTCAAAGATCTAAGACTTTTTCTATGTACACAAAAGGCCTATTTCTCTCAAATATTGTTCACAAATCTGTCTAAATCTGTGTTAGTGAGCACTTCTCCTTTGCCGAGATTATCCATCCACCTTACAGGTGTGGCATATCAAGATGCTGATTAGACAGCATGATTATTGCACAGGTGTGCCTTAGGCTGGCCACAATAAAAGGCCACTCTAAAATGTGCAGTTTTATCTCACAGCACAATGCAGGAATCACAGTCCACCAGAGCTGTTGCCCGTGAAATGAATGTTCATTTCTCTACAATAAGTCGTCTCCAAAGGCGTTTTAGAGAATTTGGCAGTACATCCAACCGGCCTCACAACCGCAGACCACGTGTAACCACACCAGCCCAGGACCTGAGCCCAGTCCAAGATCGTCTGAGACCAGCCACCCGGACATCTGCTGCAACAATCGGTTTGCATAACCAAACAATTTCTGCACAAACTGTCAGAAACCGTTTCAAGGAAGCTCATCTGCATGCTCGTCGTCCTCATCGGGGTTTCAACCTGACTGAAGTTCGTCTTCGTAACCGACTTGAGTGGGCAAATGCTCACATTCGATGGCGTCTGGCACTTTGTAGAGGTATTCTCTTCACGGATGAATCCCGGTTTTCACTGTACAGGGCAGATGGCAGACAGCGTGTATGGCGTTGTGTGGGTAGACACTGTCTCGTGGGTACCCCCCTGCCTGCGAGGGCCAATGGGGATATGTGGCGAGCAGGACGAGGTCGAGGGCCGTGGGAGAACGGCGCGAGGCCGGTGGCGTGATTGATAAAGAGCGACACCTGCGCGACGCATTGGTCTCGTATCTCTCACGGAGGAGAGGAAGCATAAAGGAGGAGCGACGACAGTGAAGATCGAGAGAGGAACAGGCCTGATTTTATGTTGTGTTTTGTTTCTGTTTTGGGTGGCCAGCAGTCGTCCGCGAGAGGCTGCTGGCTTATACTTTCATTTTTGTATTTGTTTATTTATTATTAAAATTGTTGAACGTTTGCCGGTTCCCGCATCTTTCCCATAACAACTGAACCTCGTTACAATAAGATACTTCTTTCAAAAAACATTAACATGTTTGTATGGTAGTGTGATTGAACAAGTTAACGAATGTAGTCACGCATAAAACAGTATACATTAACTTATAAAGGCACTTCTATAACGTCTATTAAATGCTTTTCTTGATTTAATCTTCATTTGGGTTCTTGCAAATATCGACACTTTTTTTTTTAAATTGTGTAATGTATTTCATTCAATTAAACATTTGAATCTTTTGACAGTTCCTACTGAAATATTGGCGTGATGTTCTGATTCTTTTCAAACCAGATCTGACAGGAAAGTGCCTCTGATGCCTCTGATTGGATGGAAAGAGCTGTGACCGTTGTAAAAAGTGAGATCCGACGCAATCTATCGGTGAGTGTGTGTGTGTGTGCATGTGATTTAAAAGTACTTAATCAGATCAAACACAGAGTTTCCCTCCCCTCCGTGGAAAGACAGCCACACCCCTTGCAGGCCTCCCTCATACATCCTGGCCGCCCGAGACAGTTTGAATTTATTCAATCAATGCAACTCATCTAATTGATATCTGAAACAGCGGCCGGTGATTTATCGTCAGAGAAATGTAAATGATATATCCCGGGCAGATGTCTTATATTTTCCAACCATTTATTTTGGGGAGTGAGTGAAAGGAAGGCAGCGTGTTTAATTAAAATTCATGAGGGAGGAATGTGCTGAGTTGCACTGGCCTGTGCTGGTCTCTTTGGGTTCAGTCTGGGGGGGGATGAATGATGGTGGACATGAGAGAATGTTGACAAGGGCGAAGTCAGGAGCGTCCTGGTTTGATCACACTCGCACACACACTCGCCCTCATTCACTCCCAGACTCATTTTAAATCAACACACACGTACGTTTAATATTGCATAAGGGAGGTGTTAAACACACCCCGCCACGCTAAAGTGGCTTTATTTGGTTTTAAGGGTGTTCTGAAGATGCTTTCGCTAGATCTGGCCCAAACCTTTAACGCAACCCCTCCTCTAGCTCCACTGAAATATGTTTAACCTAAATATTTATCTCAATTGACAGTTATCACACTGTTATGTGCAAACAAAATGGGCCACAGGACTGTTCAGACTCTCGCTGTGTGCGGCGAGAGAGAGATTAAAGGAATAGTTCACCCAGAAATTTAAATTCTGTCGTTATTTACACCTCCTTATGTCATATTGTCTTCTGTGAAACACAAACGGAGAAGTTGGCAACTGCTCTTTTCCCCCCCCAAAAAAAAAATGGATGGTGATTTTTACTGTCAAATTCCAAAAATTAGTTAGGAGCAGGTCAAAAATTACTTCATTATTCACTGTTAATCTTAATATGTGGGGTTGGAATGAAATGAAGGTGACTATTTAAATATATATAAATAAATTGGTATATATTTCTATATACACTACTATTCAAATGTCTGGGGTCGGTAAGATTTTTTAAAATGTTTTTGAAAGAAGTCCCTCTTCTCACCAAGGCTGCATTTATTTAATTAAAAATACAGTAAAATCTATAATATTGTGAAATATTATTACAGTTTAAAATAACTGTTTTATATTTTAATTCAATATTTTAAAATCCCTGTGATGGCAAAGCTGAATTTTCAGCATCATTACTCCGGTCTTCATTGTCACATGATCCTTCAAAAATCATAATATGCTGATTTGGTGCTCAAGTAACATTTCTTATGGTTATTAATGTTAATGTTATTAATGTTAAAAACACTTGTGCTGCTTAATATTTTTGTGGAAACCATGATACAGCTTTTCAGGATTCTTTGATGAATAGAAAGTTCAAAAGAACTGCATTTGTTTGAATTTTTACTGTCAATTTTTTATTAATTAATGCATCCTCCTTACTAAATAAAAGTACTAAGTTCTTTAAAAAAAACTGGATCATAGTGTATATTTATTTATTTAACTTGTTTTTGAATACTCCATGTGACAACACATGTTGTATATTACTTGCGTCGAAACTCAAAAATATCAAGAAGAAAATCACATTTATTATGTATTATGGCAACGCTGATTACCTAGCAAATCAGGTTCCCTTTCAGTCGCTCACGTTCGACGTGACAACGTAATTGGGATCACTTCAGGGAGCCCTATCAACTAGTGTCTACAGAACGAGCCAATGAACATTGGCGTGCGTGAGAAGCGTCACGCGCCCCGCAGTTTCTGCAGACTGCTGCATCGTTGGAGACTTCAAAAAGAGAATACTCTGTACGCTGGTGTGAAGGCGCGATCAGCGGTGGCCGCGAGCATTACAGCTCACAACTGCTGTTTTCACAGCATTGGAGGAAGCGGACACGCCTTGGACGCCTTGGGATTTGTCTCTGGTCCTTTCGGCTCTTCAGAGACCACCCTTTGAGCCTTTGCAGTCAGCTGAGTTAAAAATTCTGTCCTGTAAAACAGTACTCCTGGTTGCATTGGCCTCCATCAAGAGGGAAGGGGATCTGCATGCATTTTCGGTCGACGAATCGTGCCTAGAGTTCGGCCCGGCTAACTCTCATGTGATCCTGAGACCCCGGACCAGATACGTGCCCAAGGTTCCTACCACTCCCTTCCCGGACCAGGTGGTGAAACTGCAAGCGCTGCGTTCGGAGGAGGCAGACCTAGCCCTGGCTTTTCTCTGTCCCGTCCGTGCTCTGCGCCTGTACGTGGACAGAACGCAAACCCTCAGGACCTCAGATCAGCCCTTCGTCTGTTATGGAGGCCAGCAGAAGGCTCCACTCCATGGAGCGGATACGTGCGCTTTTTGCTCCAGTCGAGTTCCCCACTCAGGCGAACCCTGTGAGATCCTCTGCACCCCTTCGGCAGTCGGACGTTGCGGAGCGTCCGACGCCAGGCCTAGTGCTCGTATGCTTGTGTAACTTGTGCTAGGCTGGGTTCCATATGTGGTGATCCCTGCGGCGATCCCATATGAGTATTCTTCCACGACCAGCTCCCTGCGGTGAGCCCGTGTCTTTCCCTTGGCAGAGTCCGCTCTGCCGTCACTATCTGGTGTAACCTCCCCTTCTTAGGCTGGAGCCACCCCAGTGACATTCCATATGTTGCCCCTACCGGCCAGTCCATATGTGTATTCTCCACATGTTACCTCCCTTCGAGCAGGATGTGGCTTCCGCAGCGTCCCCTTCCCCTGGAAAGGCACGCTTTCCCAATGTTATCCAAGAGTTCCACTGTGTGGGTTATAACGGAGCAGCAGTCCGAACCTTCCGCCCCAGCCAGTTGGGGCTCTGAGAGTCTTGCGTAGGGCGCTGGATGTGGCAGCAACCGATGGCGTTTTCCATGGGATCCCAATTACGTCGTCACGTCGAACGTGAGCGACTGAAAGGGAACGTCTTGGTTACTGATGTAACCCTCGTTCCCTGAAGGAGGGAACGGGAGACGTGACGTCCCGCCGCCACAGTTGCTGACCATCGCTGAACGGCCATCACAATCTCGGCTCCTCAGCGAAAAACAATGAGTGCGTGCGCCTGCTTCCTGTTTATACCCGAGCTGCGGGGCGGGGCGCGTGACGCTTCTCACGCACGCCAACGTTCATTGGCTCGTTCTGTAGACACTCGAAGTTGATAGGGCTCCCTGAAATGATCCCAATTACGTCATCATGTCGACGTCACGTCACCCGTTCCCTCCTTCAGGGAACGAGGGTTACATCAGTAACCGAGACGTTTGGGGTCAAATCAAAGCAAGTTTGGGTAACACTTTATTTCAATAGTCCACTTTAGACATTTTACTAACTATAAGTAACTTTGCAACTACATGTCAACTACCAGTCATTAGAGTATTAGTAAGACTGTCTGTTTAATATTTGCTAACACTTTATTTTAATGTTCCCCAAACAGACATTCAACATGCCAACTTATTCTCCTAACCCGAACCCTAACACTGTAACACCTAACCTTAACCTAACAGTCTATACAGTCTACTAATACTCTAATGAGAGTTAGTTATACAGTTGCAAAGTTACTTAGAAGAATGTCTAAAGCAGACCATCAAAATAAAGTGTAACCCAAGTTTGATCTAATCAATCGCTAGGAATATAAAAGCATGTTTTATATTTTTACTATAATATTGCATTTTGTGCATGTTTGTTACCATTGTTGACCTGTATAGTCTAAAAAATGACCGATTTAGAGCAGCAACTCTGTGTGCCACATGATTGATTTGAATGTTGCTAGAAGATATGGAACTCAAATAAGCATAAAACACACAGCACTGTATAAAATAGTTTACTAAACTCTATTGTTGATGCTTTCCAATAAATGTATCATTTGAATTCATTTTCTTTTACCAAGCTTTTTGCAGTGTATTATGGGATTTCATTCTCCACAGTGTATACATGCGCCCATATTTGACCCATAACAGCCTCTCTACATCAGGTGTATTCGGGCCAGGTCTGCTTACATGGCTTTCTGTCATTTAGGGTGGGTTACCGCACATAAATACACCTACGTCAGTCCCAAGGTCACGCGCACACTCTCACACGCTCATTGTGTTAAAGGATTGCTGCCTGACGTGACCTTGGTGCTGGGTGAAAGCAAAACATCTCAGACAGTCTGATCTGCCACCCAGTGTATCTTTTTTTCCCTACCTTTAGAGCAGGAAAGAGCCGTTTGTTTCCCATCAGCAGTCAGTCTCACTCTGTAACTCTAAGCAGCTGGCCAGTCTCGACTGCATTATTCATATAAAGAGAGAGAAAGAGAGAGAGAGAAAGAGAGAGAGAACGCACACTCTTCACCAAAGTTACAAGATTTATGGCCCTCTGTTTAGGAAATAATTCAAAGTTCATACTCACATACATCATATTTTGAAACACATAGATTATGGGGTGGAACACATTTATCATATTGCAACACACCAGCACATGCACACACACGAACGCACGCAGATACACACTCACAAGTGCACATGTTCTCAATCTCTCTGTCTCTGTCTCTGTGATACACACACACATTTGCACGATTTGCACCGGGGCCTAATTTCACAGGGATGCGTTTGGTCTGTATGAAAAAGCTTTGTATTAGCTTTGTCACTGAACCCATCAGACAGTAATGAGGCTATGCTTAAAACACACCCTCAATTCCAGATAAGAGCAGGGAGAGACTACGGCGAGCACGTCTGCTTCCCCCCGTTCCGATAAAACCTCTCTGTCATTTGTCACTTGTACATTTCAGATTTCTAATCTCAGTCAAATTGATCCGTATCATGCATTTTTATACAGGCTTTTGTGTATATTGATATTTGTGGATTGCTTCGTGTCAACAAAACAAATGTGTATAGTTTTTATTGTGCAATGCTTGTGATGCACTTCAGGAAGGAGAATGGGGAATGTTGGCTGGTTTTGCATACAGTCTGAGCCACAGACTAGGTCACGTTTAGTGTGCGCCGGAGCTAAATATGAAATGAAAGTGAGTTGTTTGTTGAGATGTCATAATATTATATTAGATGTTAAAACTCATCTTTAGCATTAAAATGTTTTTGAATCTTGTCTGATTTATAACAGATATAAGAAAGCAAAGCAAAAACAAAATACAAAGTACATCAAAAACACAAAACAAAACAAAAACAAACTAAAAGTAATTAAACAAAACAGACGGTTATTTTAACTAAAAAAAAAACTAAGACTATTAAAGCATGTTTGTTAATAAAAAAAAATCTGAAATAAAATGTTAGATGAAAAACTAAATAAATCTCAAATGTTGCTTTTGCAACTAACTGAAATCATTTTAATTTAAAGCACTAAAGTTACTGGAAATAAGTAAAAACTAAAGCAAAAATAAATTAAACATAAATAGTAATAAATAAAAAATAAATAAATGAGTAAGAATTAAACTAAAATTAAAATAACAACTGGAAAAAATAAAAGCCAATTCAAAATATTAATAAAAACTTTAATAGTATATACAATAATACTAAAATCTGAAATACAAAATGGTTTGCTGATAAGCAAATACGAATATGCATCAGACCAATTTTAATGCAGCAATATTTAATTATTCAGAGGGGTCAGATTGATTTGAATTTACTTCAACTTTTTTTAAATATCACAATTACTGTATAATAAAGCATAATTTGTTTGATTCGAGACAAATCCACTTAATATGTGATTCTGCTGAGACAATTTAGTTTTATTCAGTGGGTGGGTGTCCATATTCCATATAAGCAGAAAAATCTTTTCATTATGAACGCAGAATGACGCGGATCACGTAGGGGGATAATTTTAGTATGCGGCGTGTTATTTGAAGCCTAACCCACATTTTGAGACACAGTTTTTCAAAGTCAAAATCATCCTTTTTAAAGAGGATGGTTGTCATTGTCTCTTAATGAAGCACAAGGGCATTATTGACAACACTTGAAATGAGGTTAGCAGTGGTGAGATGCAGTATGGAGGCTTATAAAATTCTGTCCATTAGCCCACAGCCCCAGCAAATGAAAAAGAAATGGCGTGACCATCAGTTCAGGCCCTCCAGACTCAATACTTTCAAAGCCACTGAACAAAAAAAAGAACATGTCTTGTTTCTTTTATTCCAAGGAAATATACATTTCGCTTTGTTTATGCTCCTCCTGGATAAACGTTTAATTATGAATCATTTCCATTAAAAAAAAAAAAAAAAAGATATAAAGAAAATGCAGAGGCGTTAGACAGCTGAGAGACACACAAAAAAAGGAATACAACTTATTTTCAAAAAGACATTTAGCTGGGGGTGGTAGGACATGCGGCTCTGAGGTCCCATTAATTACAAAATGCATTAATATTTTATTAGTCCCTTATCAGTAATTAATCAAGCACTTTGATGTAAAGTTCAGCTTACAAAAGCAAGAGGAAATGGTTCCTCAGATATTCGCCCGCTCTCAGAGATGCCTTAGTATTTCACAAGAGACGGTTAATCCTCGCATGCCTTAAAAGCATTTTTTCCCATCTTAAGCTTTGCCATACTGCAAAAGAAATAAGACGCAGTGGCTGTAAGGTGTCATGTACAATACGAGGGTGGGACGGGGGGTTGGAGGGGAGGGAAGGGGGGGCTGCATTTGTAGACAATGAGCTCCCTCAGATCTGATTTGGCGAGGCGTCGAAGGACACCCAATCACAGTAAATATTATTCTTTGTGCTGTGCCTCTAATTAACATGCTTAATTGCAGCTGTCAAAAGGCTCTTCAGATTGTTAAGGACATGCGAGCTGGCGAGGGTGTGTGTGTGTGTGTGTTAGGAGGGGTGGCACTGGCCTGCAGCATGACTGAAGCAGTTGTTTCACTATTGAAAGCTCACATAGATCACACCAAATCTGCTAGTAAAAGGGGTTTACAATGAAACAGATTATCAGCGGACTCTCATTATAGCTCTTTCTTTTTTGTATAGACTCTTCAGACTTACTGTACATACAGTGTTCATTTATAATGCAATAATCCAAACTATATATGTATGTAACAATGTATGTATATGTATGTACCGGTAGTATGTATGTACTGTTTATATTTCTGAAAAACAACTGAAAACAACTATTTGTTAAGATTTTATTATTTTCCTTTTCTCTTTTATAAACCAACAGTTAAATAAATGCTGGGGGAAACACCATACAACTAAGAGGACATATGTTAAAAATACATGAATAAAAATACAGTAAAAATAGAAATATTTTGAATATGCTGATTTGCTGCTCAAGTAACATTTCTTATTATTATCAATGTTAAAAACAGTTGTGCTGCTTAATAAATTTCTTTTCCGGATTTTGTGATAAATGGAAAGTTTAAAGGAACAGCATTTATTTAAAAATAGAAATCTTTTGTAACATTATATTATTTTATTAGAACATTATTTTTGCTGTATCTTTTGATCAGTTTAATGCTTCTTTGCCGAATAAAATTATTAATTTCTTTCGAATTAAAAATCGACTTAAAATTGTGTAAAATATTGAATGTTTTATGTATTAGATCTGTCCCAAAAAAGCTTATGAATTAGTACACTGTATAAAATGTTTTGTCAAGTAACCTAAAAAAAAAAAAAAGGGCTTCTAAATTAACCAGTTTTATTCAAGTGAAAATGATTACTTAATATTGACTTTAAGTGCTGGAGATTAAACAGTTGATGGGCATCATTGATGGAAAAAAATGGGGCCCATCAACTGTTTGGTTACCGACATTCTTTAAAATATCTTCTTTTGCGTTCAGCAGAAGAAAATAATTCATACAGGTTTAGAACAACTTGAGGGTGAGTAAATGATGACAGAGTTTTCATTTTTGTGTGAACCATCCCTTTAATGCTAAACCATGGCTCTGACTCCTTTCTAAAATCGAAACGTGTCAGAGAAACCCATAGAGATGACGTCAAGAGCTGCGTGGCTTGAGCAGGAATTTTTATGTCTAAATATGTGAAAAACAATGTTCCGAAAATCTTCCGGGTGATCTGAGGACAGCAGCGTGACGATGTGAAATCTGCACGAGATAAATTCCCACAGACCCTTTGCACTCACAAAAATGGAAATTATTTAATCACCCACAAAATCTGATATGTAGGTGAGGCTGAACTGAGGACAGAGCATAATTAAAAGATCAGAATTTATTCCCTTGGAAGCACACACACACACACACATTGAGGTTGCAGTGTGACTGGAAGGTCAGTGTGCTCTTTAATGGATAGCATTGATCCTAATGCCTTTTTCTGATTGGCCGAAGCTGAACTTTCTCTCCCTGCAGCACCTCCCCCTCCGGCCCACTGATGGATTGACCCACCTGTAGTAGGCCCTCAGGCGGAGCTCCACCAGGAGGCTCATATCCACAGTGCGGCTGTAATGCAGCACTACAGCACAGTGGCAGGTTCGCTCTCTCTCTCTCTCTCTCTCTCTCTCTCTCTCTCTCTCTCTCTCTCTCTCTCTCTCTCTCTCTCTCTCTCTCTCTCTCTCTCTCTCTCTCACACACACACACACACACACACACACACACACACACACACACACACACACACGCACACACTCACAGCCACAGCCACAAACTCAGAGCAGAAGAGAGACCGTCCCATTACTCCATCGGAGGCCCTGAGAGCTTGATGAGGTCTCTCTATACTGTATCTCTGCTGTCTCTGACACTGAGGGCCAGGACACAAGGGGAAAACAACACTGCAGGTGCTTTTCTTTTTCCCAGTCACCAGAGAGGTACATTAGGACAGACACTACACAAAAATAAATTAGGTACACCGGGGTTGTTCATACTGTAAGACCATAAAAAAACATCAGCAAACAATATACCGAGAGGCTATAACACAGGGAAGTTATCACAAGGGATATATCCAGGGCCTAAAATTAACACTCGCCAAGCACCAAATGCGATGAAAAATTGTCGTTGGCGACTATATGAAACGGTGTCAATCACTAGTTGGCCAGTAATATTTTTATGAATTCTAACAATGCAGTGTTGTGAAAACATAAACAAAGGTGAACGACACTCGGGACAGTTGATGGGCCAGTGCTGAATCATCATAAGAGTTTAAGCCTTGGCAATTTAAATAAAAAAGTTCTAGTGCAAGATGATGCAAAAGAGAACTCAATTAGTTACTCACGCGCTGTGTGGAAAGTTTTGTCACATCCGGGCCCAGAAAGCTGCGTCTCATACATCTAATACTGAATTGAACTTGTGTTCTTGCGCTTGAATGGACAAATTCACAAACAAATGTCAAACAAGTATCCTAGTAAACATATTTTGTTATGACTTAAGTGAACGTAAACAGTAGAGAAAGATGTGTATCAGTATCAGTGTAATGGATCCGTGGATTAGGTCTTAAAGTGACAGCAGCCTAACATTTCTAATGCTGTCTGTGTTTTTAATGTTAATCAAACAACAAAGGACAAAAACAAATCATTGACTGAATAGCTTTTGTAACTTTAATAAGGGGTAATTTATGTTGAATTTATACAGTGAAGACTATCTAGTGTTATTTTACATTTGATTTTTTTTTATTTTTTTTTATTTTTTTTTATGTCTCTCCCTGACAACTACTGTTATTTGTCTTTAATTATGTTTTACATTTATAGGCTGGTAGTTTTAGATGTTGCATCGAAATTGTAATTGTGTATTTTCACTGGTATCTAAAATTTTGGTGTCATAACTGCCTGTTTTTGCAAAAACAGTTTCATGGCTGGTAAAAATATTTATGGGTGGTATATTTTCTTAAAGGTGCATTGCGCAACATTTCATGTTAAAAATACCCGTTTTTCTAACCCATACATGCTTAAACAATTGCCTGATGGGCTGAATGAGCCCTTCTCTGATCACTGCGATTGCCTCTATAATCCTGTACAGTAAAATAAATAAGAGGGATTCGGGCCGGAACGTGAGACTGGGCGTGACGTCATGCGCGTTCACGCTCCCCTGGCTATGTCTGGCAGGTTTGTGTATTCGCCGCCATTCTCCGTATTAGGGAAGACAACTCGAGCGACAAAACTTCACTCAACTTTCGACAAAAGTAGAAGATGGATTCAAAGAGACCGTCTTGTAGTTCATAAACCCCAACGCAAACTCCACGCAAGACAAAGACAGTAAGGCAGTTTCGCTTGTCGCCAGAGGGGGGCATAGTTCTGCAAAAACTCAGAGAGGTGCGCAATGCACCTTTAAGTCAAAACATTAAAAACAAAAATTCAATTTTAGTCTGTTTGATGGCTGGTTTCTATGGAAGCTTGTTTTGTTTAAAAGATAATTGCGTCTTTTTATCTCATTCTTTTTTTATTTCTCGCAATTGTGAGTTTATATCTCACAACTCTGACTTTATAACTCGTAATTGCGACTTTATATCACACAATTCTGAGATAAAAAGTCAGAATTGTGAGATGTAAACTCAATTGTGAGAAAAAAAATCAGAATTGTGAGATAACAGTCACAATTACCTTTTTAATTTTTTATTCTGTTGTGGAAACAAGCTTTCATAGGTTTCACTGTGACATCATATAGTGCGACAATTATGTATATTCAGAAAATAAACCTCAAAATATTTCTTATTTATAAATATATATATTGTATACATGAATTTTAAATATTTTATAGAAAATAAGTGCATGCATATATGGTTAGAGACAAAAAAAAAAAAAAAAAAACTGATGCCAGAAATACAACAAGCTGGATCTGGTGTCTCAGGCAATTTATTTTATTATATAAATAATTAAATGATATCATTAACCTGTTAACTGGCACCCCCCTTTTTTTTGCATAGACATAAAAATCACTATCCAAACTTAAATGGTTGTAATTCAGGAATGCTTTGGAATATAGACCTATGGCTGGTCTTGTTTTAAAGAAGACATTTTCCAGATTATTGTAGAAGTCCAGAAATTGTAAAAAATGAAACAGAGAAAAAGTTATATAAGTTTGAGTTTATGAAATTGTATAATGTAAAAATATAATGATTAATATTTTATATAAAATATATATATTACAAAATATATTTTACTCTAAAACTGCAAGAAAATTAAAGTCAAATATCTGAACAAGTTGTATTCCAAATTTTAGGTTGATCTCTCAAAAAATGAGCTTTCAGTAAGATTTTATTCGGGCGCAGTACCCAACTTTTTCACTAGGTGAACACCAGACTCCATTACTGCCCATATAAGGGCGCCTCCATTTTCATATGTTTTGAGTGATCTGAACCATGTATTTCCATAATTTTCATACAATTTATGAAGTAGACATCCTATTCAGAAGTAGTAGGGGTGGTTTGGCAGTATTTGATTTGAATTAAACCTCTAATAAATGCATAAAGACTACGTTATAGCGTTATAGCTCGCAGCCGCACTACAAATCGAGAATCCATAAATTTTTCTTTATATTTAAAACATTTTCAGACCTTTTTTTCTCATAAAATGGATTTGGTGTTATCTTTTGAACTCATGGCATGAAAACAAACTGAGGTTTCTACCAATCTTTCATGATTTTTCATGTTTATTGTTATTTCAAAATAAAGGCCTAAATACTCCTAATGAATATGAAATATTCTTGTTGCAAATTGATAAATTTCTGCTCCTCTGTATTATATTTTAGATAACAGCCACCAAATATGAAAACTAGAGATTTTAAGCTTTCAAATGATATATAGTTTGGCAATATTACTTTAGGTTTTTACTAAGATATTATTGTTTTAAATATGCAATGGCAAATGGGCCCGCCGGCGGGCCCATGCAGGGTTAAGAGGTTAAACACATATGGTATTTGTGAATAAAATCATATTATTTCAGCCAGACAGAGAAAATAGCTGAGTAATCAGGATTACACACATACACTGTAAAACTGATTTTTCAAAGTTGTAAATAAAACAAACAATCCTGAAATACGTTTTACAAGAAATTCTACTTCAAATTTCACATTTAATTCAGTGTTACATCCTGTACATCTTTGTAATTATTAACACTCTTTTAGAAATCTAGACATTTTTAGAAAAAATTTAGTAAAAAATGAATGAATTAATACATTCATTATCCCCCACCCACCCTAAAAAAAAAAAAAAAAAAAAAATTCTGTCAGCATCTCTATGTTTATGTTGTTTGTAGATATTTCCACATTTTCTGTGTGTGAGTGCTCATTATGTTGTAATTGCAGTGTAACTCACGGATTTGTTCTATAAAACAGACATTTTGGGATAATTAGCTAAAAAAAGCAGTCGAAGTGCATATGGCTCCCCTGCTTTGGCTTAGTTCTGTTCACATATGGCACTCTCTGCTGAAGCTTTTAGCTATTTGCCAGTGTTCACTGTGTAGGGGGGGCCGCACAGACACACAAAAACACCCTACACACACACACACAGCCTCACATCGGTCATTGTGCAGCCAGGCATGAGCCACACCTGACTCACACACACAAACAAACGCACACTCGGACACCCACACCTTTGGCTTTCATTCCTTTAAAATAAAGTCATTAATGTCCTTTCATAAATGTTGCGTTTTTTCTGTTACCTGAGGAAGACCTTCTGTTTTGATAGGTGACATAAGACATAAAAAGAAACCTGCTTTATTTGGTATCGGCGAACTAAGTACGGCTCATAATCGCGCTGTGAAAATTTTGAATAGTGAGAAATCAAAACTGAGCTCACCAGCCCACTAACACATCGCCCTGGCAAATATGTTCCTGCTCCATAATTTGAGTAGGTGGCGTTACAGAGAATTTTCGTCTGCTCCTGTGGCTCACGCATTGCTGTTTCGACGGTAAACACACATGCAGATTACACCGTCATTATACCGATTACAACATTTGCCACTCGCGTCAAGACAACAGTGATTAAAATATCTGTTTTCCGACCCCCTCGATCATCTTCATGAATACTGCGTGTTGTGTGCAAGCTAAGGAACACATGCTGAGACATAGTGTTGTCCACACAAACACATCTGCGCCCACATAGTCACACAATATATCGTCTTTATCAATGCCTTGGCGTTCAACGAGGCCTTGCTGTGCTGCTTGTTTGAGAACGATCATTTCTGCATCACAGCTTCAATTAACCTTGTCCTGCCAAAAAAGCTTAACAGCATCAACATTAGCACAGCTCAACTCATTTACACAATATTCAAAATGTTCACCCTTAGTTTTGTTGCGGTCCTCACATGTCATTATGCTTTTATGCTTCAAGAAGGATGCAAAAGCACCATAAGCATAAATTTATATATAAATTTACGCCCACATCATTTTATTTTGCTTTTGTCATATACATAATGAAAGCTCCACCTTGAATTTCAAACTCATTTTTAATCTGATAGAAAGCAGTAAATAATGCAGTCTTTCATGTCACATTTGGTGTGTACATTTCTGTTTCAGGGTGCAACCTGTTTCTCCTTTCACACAGAATCAACAGACAGCAGCCCTGCTGGCCCGAGGGTCATATGAGGACCTCTCCGTGACCCCTGACCTCATTTTGAACCAAGACCCTCGAGTTCATCCACATCTGCGGCTGTAGAGAAGGTCACTGGAGAGTTTGCCTTTACTCTGACATAACAAGCAGAATGAGGTTTGTTATTAAAAAGGCAAAAAGTCAATAAAATCTAAGTTTGTGATTTAATTAGTTAGAATAGCAGTAACAGTAATTATCTACTTCACAAAATAATCACACATTAATTAGGCAGCAGGCTACATGCATTATATTAGAATCACAAGAGCACTGTAATGTAAATCAAGGCCAAATTAGACTATTTGAAAATAGATTATATGAAATTCATAATGCGCTTTGTAGTCCATTATGTCTTTGCATACATATTTGTTACCACAGATAATAATTCAGTCAGTCAGTTACAAATCATTCAAAATAAATGGTTAAAACAACAAATAATAACATTTTCTATGAATATGTGTGTATAATACATTATAGAAATATATATGTACTTTTTGTCAATACTATGTTATTTCAATATTTTGGAACACGCAGTATAGTCAATCAGTTACAAATCCTTGAAAATAAATTATTGAAACAATAAATAATAAAATTTTCTATGAATCTGTGTGTATAATAGATTATAGAAATATATGTTTTTTGTCAATATATTATTTCAATATTTTGGAACTAAACGCAGTAGTCAATCAGTTACAAATCCTTGAAAATAAAAGATTAAAACAATAAATAATAACATTTTCTATGAATCTGTGTGTATAATACATTATATAAATATATAATACATTTTTTTTTGTCAATATTATATTATTTCAATATTTTTAATTACACGCAGTATAGTCAAATTAGTTACAAATCCTTGGAAATAAATTATTAAAACAATAAATAATAACATTTTCTAGGAAATATACATATTTATGTCAATAATATTATTATATATTATTTCAAAATTATCAAGAGGCCGCTTGCATTCTGTTATAAGGTATTATGATATGAATACTTTTAAAATGTATTACATACTAAATTCATAGAAAATGATATTATTTATTAATGTAATCATGTATTTTCGTGTCAATCAGTTGTAAGTAACTGACTGTATTTTTTCCAAGAATCAAGTTCATCCCCCCTGATAGGTTTCCTTGTATGTTCACCCTTTCTGATGAGGGCCAACAACTAAAAGACTCCTTAGTTGGCTAAGCAGTTTGTTTAAAAGCCCTAATGGAATATTCAGAGCTAATTCAAACGCTTTCTGATAACTTAAGACGGCTTGCGGTGTGATCTCTCTCCCTCCTCAAAATATTTGCCATGAAGGACTCGAGCTTTGAAATGTATAAAGTGCACCCATTCAGCGGAGCATATCTGTGAGTGCACATCAAAGTGCTGTGAAGGGCTCAGATCTGCTTTGCTCAGTGGAATATGTGTGGATGTGAGAATCTGCCTCTGTTATTGGGATTCAGGACATGAATCTCTAAACTAGCTTGATATGCACGCCTGTTATTTGTAAATACACTTCAAACATCTCAATGGTAGTTTGCAACATAGGGGAGTAAATCACATTTTATTTAAAGTATTTCTACTGTTGGATGTCCTCAGAAGCATTCTCGCCATGTTACACCATCTCACTCAGCTCACAGCCTGTACCCGAGCGCTTTCAAGAGGACATCTTGTTTTAAAAAACGGGATATTTACAGGTCATCAATTCGGTAGCACGTGTTCTGTTTAACACGGTATTTGGATCTCGGGTTGTTCTCGCCACCTCAAATGCCCTGATGCTAGACACAAACATTCGGACTTCCCTTTTCTCTCTCCATCTGTCAGTCTATCTCTCTTTCTCACTCTCGCTTTCTGTGTGTGTATGTGTGTGCGTGCGCGTGTGTGTTTGTATGTGTGCGTCTCTGGGACCGTTCTGTAATTCTGTACTGGAACAAGGCTAGGATAATGTAGAGGGTAATGCCTCCCCGGAGACACACAGATGCTGGGTAACACCGAGTCCAAACAGCCCAGGCTCAAGCCTCCCAAGCGGGTTGCTGTACAAATGCAGCCTTTGATGTGTGATTTGGAGAGACCAGGGGCTCAGAACACTAGAGTCTTACACTCAATTCAGGTTAACCTGGAGCCAACGCCTGTGTGTGTGTGTGTGTGTGTGTGTGTGTGTGTGTGTGTGTTTGTCTGTCGGTGTGTTTGCCATTTTACTGTCTTTTCTGTTGGGGAAGCTACTTTGAAACTTTGAAATTTAAAATAGTAGTTAGCTATACTATGTTACTAAGAAAAAGTAGCTTGCTACAAAGCGATACAATTGTTTTAAAAATACAAGTATCAGAGTATAGCTTTTAATGCCATGTCAGCAGCTGAGGCTATTTTCATGGCAAGAATTGAGGTTAAAAATGTACTAGAATAAAAAGAAAAGAAAAAGAAAAACCAAACAAAAAGAAAAGAAAAATACAGCAGTTAAGATTGTACAATATGATTTACATTTACTGGTCAAATTTTACCAAACAAAACTAAGTCCTTAATTGAGCTTACATAAAACTTGTATTAAAAGCAGGACAGTCCAATAAAAATATGTTTATTGGAAAGTGAAATGGAAAATTCTAAACTAATAAAGCAAGAAACAGTCTAGTTTATTTTACTTTTAATATGTAGTTAAATGTTTATTGTAGTATTTTTCATTTATGTCTGTTTTTATATGTATGTATAGGCTATTACATTTGTTTAAATTATTGTTAGGCATATTTATATTTCATAACATATTTTATGTTATATTTAAAGAGTTTTCACATGAAATTTTTTATATATTTTTTTTACATTTTATAAATTATAATTGTATTTAATAAAATATTATATTCTATAATATAATAATAAACATTAAAATACATTAAATGATTTTTTTTTATAAATATTGCACGTTATTAAATCATTTAATATTTTATGTTCTGTATATAATTTTATTATAATTATGTATTTATAATTTTCTTTAATATTTTACTTATATTATATAACTGTATAAATTATATAAATAACTGGACAGGGAAGATATGAAATGACCATCCAAACAAACTGCATTAATGAAAAGCTACACTGTTGTGTGATTGTCACTCTAATGAAAAATGTAGTTGTGTTAGTACCATCGCCAACACTGGCGTTCAAATTGCTTGATGTGATTGGCCATTTGTGTTTGAGGCCTTTTGTGTCTCACCACGAACATTTTGCCCTGTGCAGTTATTGAGGCCCGTTAAAATAATTAGAGAATAAATAAATGACAATCAGGAGATGAAATGAAAATGTGACGGTGTGTTAAAAGGTGTAAAGAGGGACGGATTGGGAAGGACTGATTGGAGAAGAAGGAGTGTAGGATGAACAGAAAAAGAGAGAGATTCAATGTCCTCCAGGTGCCACTACTCGCATGATTTCATCTCAGGGCCATAATCAACCCTCTTAATGAAATACGTAATTAACATATTATAATTGTGGTAAGGATGGTTTTGACAGAAATCATTTTCCATATCTAATACTATGCTAATTTAATCTGTTCCTCACTCCCCGACATGACCCTCGCTGATTAAGTTTCATGGCAGATTTCTTCCTCTGCCTGCCATCGTGCGGGTGTGTGAGACGGAAAGTGTGTGCCTGTGCTCTAGTGTGAGCGGATGTGGCCGTTTATGTGTGTGTGTGTTTGTACCTGTGTGTGTGGTCAGATCCTGATGGATGGACGTTCTGGTGAAGTCTCTGTCTCAAACATGGCTGTCAGAGTGAGCTGGGACAGACTGCAGCAGATGGCAGAGACAGGCAGGAGACTGGGAGAGTTACAGCAGGTCTGCCCTCCTCCACGTGGGAGGTGGAGAGCAGAGGAGAGGAAAAAGGATTTTAAAGTTTGGGGGAAGAGAAAGGAGGGGCGTCTCTTCTGTTTCTCCCCTTAAAACCAGTGCTTGCAGTGGCCATTTAGAGAGGTTTACCATCAGCTCCACCCACAGCTGTATACTGGTGGACAACAAAGGCTGTGCTACTGAGAAAACATCAGTGGTGACATTCTCAGATGTTAACTCAAACGATGTTAAAGAAAACAACAAAGACAAAACCCCCGGTAGCTGTAGTTCCCTTTCGAGGGAACTCGAACTGCGTTGATATGACACTTTGGGGAACCGCCCCTTAGCGTAACGTGTCTGAAGTATGAATGAAACTAGTCCAATCCTATTGGTGTTGCGTGATGACGTAGAGTGTGATGGCACACCCGGAAGCTACAAAGGGACGCCGTCACAAAACAGCGCTAGCTTTCGCTCTTCAGCAAGCGCTCTCTGTTGTGTGAAACATCTATTTGGTGTTGTTTGTCTAATATATATATATTACAAAGAGATGGCAAGCGAGCAGTTTCATCAGTGTGTGCACCCCTGCCCTCGTTATATTACGGGTGGGGACACACACGAGATGTGTGTTTACTGTTTGGGAGCACAGCACCCCCGGGCCCTCGAGGGGGCTGCTTGCGGCCACTTTGAAGCACTATCCATCCGAGTGCTGTGCTCCCGCCTGGCTATATTTGATGAAGCCGGCCAGGCTCGTGCTCCCCGCGGTTCGGGTCCCGCGTCCACCGAGGTGGCACAGCGGCTCAGAACGTGGGGCTCCCAGAGAGAGCTAGCGGAGGCGATCGAGACTGCTTCGGCACTTTCTCGATTCTGGTCTGATAGCTCGGATCCCCTCCTTCCCCGAGCGGAAGCTCGGCCCGCAGCTTCTTCCGCTCGGGTCGATGATCCCGTGCAACAGCTCTCTGATTCTCAGCATCGTAGAAGGGGATTTTAATGAACAGTTACCACATATTGCGCCATCTCAATCTGCACCTGTTAAATATAAGGAGCTTGTGACACGTGCTGTGGCCAAGTTGATAATTAGTTGGCCACAAGAGAGACAAGAAGCGCAGGCTGCAAGTAAGCTTGATGAGCGCTTTCTGCAGCACACATCACAGCCTCCATGCCGGGCTTTACCAGTCTTTCCAGACTTACACAATGAGTTGTGTAAGTCATGGAACAGGCCATTTTCAGCGCGCCTGTCTAATCCCCCGGTGTTAGATTACAGTAACATTGTGGGGGTTAAGGAGAACGGCTATGGGATGATGCCGCGTGTCGAAGAACCTTTGGCCAGCTATTTAGCCCCTGATGCGGCATCATCTCTCAAAGCCCCGGCGCTGCCTTCTAAGCCCTGTCGCATGACATCTGGCTTAGTGGGCAGAGCATATATGGCGGCGGGTCGGGCTGGTGCGAGCCTGCACACTATGGCTATTTTGCAGGCGTACCAGGCCGACCTGTCAAAGGACCTCGATGAAGGCGAGGGTCCAACCCCAGATGATATTGCCGAACTGCGCAGAGCCACAGATCTGTCTCTCTGGGTTATCCCGTGCCATTGGC